CACACACACACACACACACACACACACACACACACACACACACACGCACGCACACGAACACATAATTGATAATGCAATAACTTCAGATGTTAACAACAAGCAATGTCATTGTGGTGTGAACCAGGGACATTGCTACACGTCCAAGGCGAACGCCGATGTAAATACGGGTGGACTATTCAATTAGCAATGGATGCTATCATCGAGTCGGAAGAAGATGCATTGCGGCAATGAGAAAATAAGTTCAACAATTACAAAACATTGTCAAGCACCAAGAATCCAGCGACGCAAAAGGAGTTCAGATTCACGGTCCACGATATGAGTATCCTCATGAGTGGCACACGATAGCTAAACGATGATATTATAAACTTCTACAACAATATGATAAAGGTTGACAACATGTGTAGGACTTCCCATCGAGAGTGCGATACACGATTTAACATGTCCGCAAATTATGCAAAGGGTTTGATTCCGCGAACAACTATATGTAACTCTTTTTTTTTTTTATCAAGCTCATTGATGACAACTTCAGATATCACTATGACAAAGTAGCTAAATGGTTTAGAGACGTCTTGATCGCAGATACTGACTTGATTTTAGCCCCATACCATAATATTCATGAAAAACATTGGACAGTTGTTGCAGTAGACCTTCGACGGAAAGTTATAGAGTACTACGATTCGATGAAACTAAACTCTGACGTTGCAAAAAAGGTAGTCAATAACTTCGCGAGGTTCGTGTACGATCGATCAACACAACAAGGAAAGCAAGTCAACACTAGACATTTCAAAAAGGTATTAGAGGTGGTTGGTATCCCGAAACAGAAAGACATTCATCAGTGTGGAGTATTTGTACTAGCATACGCATCTCTTTTGGCAAGAGGTCGGTTGCCACCATTCGAATTCGATATGCACGATATCCAACGCATTAGACGTCGGATCGCACTAGACTCAGTAGCAACTAGAGAGGATGTGTAGCATGCGACAGATTACAGAGGAGATTGAAGAGGTTGAAAGGTGACAGTCATTGAATTGTTCGGTTGCAAGTCACTTATGGCAGTTTGCAAATGTACAATGTTACGTACAATATGGAATGCTTTGACCGACAGATCGCAAATGAAGCGGCATATACATCAAACTTGTACGTAGTCATACAACATGTTGAGGTCTACATATGTATCGTCTATGTGAGGTATGGATATGTATGGTCTATGTGAGGTCAGGATATGTATGGTGTATGTGAGGTCTGGATATGTATGGTCTATGTGAGGTCTGGATATGTATGGTCTATGTGGAGAGCAGAATGCAAAAAGGATGGAAGCCAAGAATGTATCATATACCATAAACATATGTATGGTGTACACGGTATGATGTGCATATGTATGGTGAATGCGGTATGATGTAGCCCTAATGATATATGGTACATAATAGTTCACCTACCATATATGGTGCACGTGGTACCATACGACTACAGCCTACCATGGTCTACATATAAAGCCAGAAGTCACGATTTCGGAGAAAAATTCTGTACATTTTTCACTTAAATCAATTTCGCGATTTTAGAAAAAAATGTCAGTTTTAACGAAATGTCAGTTGAATGTCATAAATTGCACACACACACTGATACATGCCCAGTTGGGCGATGTACATATATAGCCAAGGATCTGCAATGTGATAAAAAGGACTGAATGGACACTGCAGTGCTAGTGGAATCTCAACAAGCAATGTGAATCCTAATACATACAAAATGACGCCGTGTAGCGTGGCGGAAGACTTAGATATAAACATTGACCTGACCAGGACTGACCTCTCTCACATAGTACAAGACAGCGCAGTGGAATGCTAGAATACCAATGACTAGCCCAATCAATGTTGCAATGCAGACCAAACATACATCATCCTCATCGCAGGGTGTAAAGGGGTCTGGCGCTACACAGAGAGAATGCGCCAGGTCCAGACCATACACAGACGAAGAGGAGGGGATCAGACGAGGAAGAGGGGGAAGATGGGAATGTTGTTAACACCAAGTCTTCGGTACAAGTCCCAGATAATCCCTCGTCAAATGCCCCAATGTCGAGTCTGGATCCAAATGTCACCAATCCCTCTTTCTCTCGTAGTCTGCAAATATTGAGAAGTTGGGTAGCGAGAGGCTAAGGGAGAGATGGTGGGCTTAGAAGAGGAAAAAGAAGAACTCTCTCTCTCTCTCTCTCTCTCTCTCTCTCTCTCTCTCTCTCTCTCTCTCTCTCTCTCTCTCTCT